CAGAAGGCGCCGGAGTCCCCCGCTCGCGCTCTGCCGCGGCTCAGCCGGCCCAGCCGCAAATAAACAGCGGCCGCCTCCCCGCGCCATCCCCCCCTCCCCGAGCACGCATGCTCCTTGGCAGCACGCGGCTTCTCCCTCCCCCCGCGTGGAAGCCGGCTTCTCCCGGGGGAGGGGGGGGAAACAGGCGCGCTTCCCACACCCCCGACGCCCGGGCCTCCGGCTAGAGGCGCTCCAAGGCAGCAGGGGGGCCCGCGAAGTTCCTGTGCTAAAGAGCATTTCTGTGCCAGTCCAGCGGGCCAGTGCCTGAGTCAGCGCTAACTTTGTCCCGCTGTGAGAGAGGCCGCGTGAAACCGCATGTGATGTGCCGCCTCGATGGGAACTCTTGCAAGACCCTCCCAGACCGGCCCGCAACATATCTCTCGCCAGTTATTTCATTAAGATGTGTACACCCAGCTTTCTCCTTCCACCTCTTTTCCCGCTCACTTTTCCCCCTCGATGGTTGCCGACTCGAGATTGGGAAATTCCTGGAGATTTGGGGATGAAGCCTAGGGAGGGTGGGGCTGGGGGGGAGGAACCTCAGTGGGGTATAATGCCGCAGAGCCCGCCCTCCAAAGCCGCCATTTCTTTCTGGGGAGCTGCTCTCTGTCATCTGGGGCTCTCTTGTAATTCTGGGAGCTCTCCAGGCCACACCTGGAGTTTGGCAACCTGAACCTCTGTGCCTTTGTTGTTTCTATTGAGTATGTTTTAATCCAAGAAGCTCAAGGTACCAGATATAGGACTCTCCTCCATTATTTGCTCACAACAATCCCGTGAGGGGAGTTAGGCTGAGAGAGAGGGTTCAAGGGCACCCACAAACAGAGAGCCAGTGCGGTGTAGCAGTTAAGAGCGGCAGACTCTAGTCTGGAGAACCTGGTTGGATTCCCCACTCCTCCTCCACATGAAGCCTGCTGTCTGGGTGGTGACTTTAGCCCAGTCACAGTTCTCTCAGAGCTCTCTCAGCCCCACCTACAAGTCTAGCTCACCACCTAGTGGTGTGTAAGGCTAAAGAGCTAGAACCTGTGGCTGCCAGGTAATCTTAGGATCTCCTGGCTATACAACATAGACTGCTATATGATAATTAATTAATCTTTGGGGCCGAGGGGTTTTAGAACCCAGATCCTAGACCAGCACTCTGCCCACTACATACCCTGGCTCACCAGCACCTCACCCTTTTGCCAACTCACAGATCTCTTTCTGCTGCCGCTCATCTGAGAGTCACTTGCAGGCATGATGCCAGTAGGGTTGCCAGTCTTCATGTGGGGCCTGGAGATCTCCCAGAATTACAACTGATCTTGGAGCTTTTGGGAGACAAGGGAGCTATGTCAGGATGTGATGTCATAGAGTCAACCCTCCAAAGCAGCCATTTTCTTCAGGGAAACTGATCTCTGTAGCCTGGACTCTGGGGATCAGTTGTAATTCTGGGAAAACTCCTGCCCCCACCTGAAAGTTGTCACCCTTCACTGGGACAGGAAGCCTCTAAAACTATCACCCCCGTGAAACTGGGTGGTTTAGCTAAGCAGGGGCAGATCCAGTTAATGGAGATTAGCAAAGAGAAGGAGTCTGTTCAGCCAGAGAACTAGATAAGATTTTCTGGACTCCGATCACCTTGTAGAAAATAATTGGAAGATTATGTTTTTTAAAAAACCCTTAATTAGTAAAGGAGTGGCATTAAATTTAATATAAAGTTTGAGTCCAGTGGCACCTCTAAGACCATCAAAGTTTCATTCTGGGTATATGCTTTCATGTGCATGCACACTGAGAGTTTATACCAAGGTGCCACTGGACTCAAACTTTGTTCTGTTGCTTCAGACCAACACAGCGACCCACCTGAATCTGTTAAGTTGCTCACTTAACAAAGCAGTCGGAGAGTGATTCAGCAAGAACACATCTTTATTCTTCAACTCAAACACAACTCCAACACGGATCAACATCTGATAGCCAGAACAGCCTTTACATTGCAGCTGTCCTGCTTTTAAACATTCCCGGCTAATGTAGCCACACCCACTGTACAAATACCAACCAATAAGGATGTTCCCACTCAGGGAGCTTGCTAGAAGGTGATTGGTTGGATGGATTTGGATCCTAGCCCAGGACGAAGCTTTACGTTGCACTTCAATTAGATGTTTCACAACATATCATGCATTCAAGGCAGCTTTGAATACACTACAGAATCTAAATTAAATTTAGTGCAACTAGTATTCTTGCTGCATTAGTGTAATCGCAGGGCTCTGCCAAGCTGTACACTGTATCCTGTCTTCTGTGTTGTCCCATTTATAGGGACTTAATTCCTTTAGCATTGGAGGTATCTGGCACTTGGGTGTACTGGAGAAGCTAGACTTGGCTCACTCCAAGTTTTTGCAGGATGGAATCAGTGGTTTAACTGAACTTCAAGAGTCTTGTTGGATGTTTTTCACTGCTATACCAAAGTGTCTAGCTATCTAAATCTTTGCTGCATTGTTCTGTATGGCGGAGCGTTTTGAGTCCAAGGTATTCTGTTTCAAAATTAATCTGTCTTGCAAGTTCTATTCCTGATTTAGCCCTATAGAACCCATGTAGGCATAGGTTGTACCTGAACTCCCCTTTATGTATGCCAGGGGTGTCAAACATAAAGCCCGGGGGCCAGAACTGGCCCGTCCAGGGCTTTTACCTGACCCACAAGCAACTGGTATGTATGGAAATATAAGGTACCTTTTATGGTACCCCTTGGAAAAGCCTAGTCTTGCATACAGGGGTGGAAAATGGTCAGTAAAATCAGTAAAAGTTAGTTTTTTCATCTTGGTAATTTGTCAGTTTTTTTAAAAAAATTGCTCAGTAAAGTCAGTATTTCTTTGATTTTTATGAACGCAGTTTGTGTTTTTCCATTTTCATTATTGCATTTTTGGGGAAACATGATGACTTCCCAGTGAGAAGACAGATTGTTTTCAGTTTAGTTAGGAAGTACTCTTAAGAACTTTGTTCCTAAGAGTAAAAGTGATTTGGTGAAATCTTCCACAAAGTATAGAAATATAATTAACCTCTTAAAACATGAGACAATAAAAGTAGAAGTGATGGATATTGTGGGATTCAACATGGCACAGCTCATGCTAGAAGGAGTTGAGAAAGCAATGGAAGAAGAGGACAAGGGAAAAAATGTGTGTGGATGCAGTGCAGAAAACTGCTGAGAAAATAATAACTTTATTTATTTATTTATTCAATTTATACCCCGCCCTCCCTGCCGGAGCGGGCTCAGGGCGGTTTACAAAGAGATTAAACGTATAGGTAACAAATTATATACAATCTTAAAACAAATAATAAAACTCTACATTATCATAAAGTGCTAGTAAGTGTTCAGGTACTTATAACAATGCTTGCAGAAGGCGGAACCAATACTAATTCTCAGCTATTTGATGTTATTTGGCGCAACTCCGTAGTCAAAGGCCTGGTGGAATAGCTCCATCTTGCAGGCCCTGCAGAACTGTAAAAGGTCCCGAGGGCCCTGATCTTTTCTGGGAGCTCCTTCCGCCAGTATGGAGCCACCACTGAGAAGGCCCTGTGGCCAGCCTGGCATCTTTAGGACCTGGGAGACCAATCGATTTTGTGACCCCGAGCGCAGTGCTCTCTGGGGAACACATGGGGAATGGCGTTCCCTCAGGTATGTGGGCCCCTGACCATAAAGGGCTTTAAAGGTAAGTACCAGCACCTTGAAGCAAATTCGGTATGCTATCGGCAGCCAGTGCAGTGCTTTCAGCACAGGCTGGATGTGCTCCTGCATAGGGAGGCCCATCAGAAGCCTGGCTGCAGCATTTTGCAATAGCTGTAGCTTCTGGATTTGGATCAAGGGCAGCCCCATGTAGAGAACATTACAGTAGTCCAATCTCAAGGTGACCCTCGCATGGATCATTGTTGCCAAGTCGCTGCATTCAAGGAAGGGAAACAGCTGCTTGGTCAGCCGAAGGTGATAAAAGGCTGACTTAGCAGTGGCTGCTACATGGGCCTCCATCATTAAGGAGACATCCAAAAACACTCCCAAACTCCTAACCTCTGGTGCTGGCACCAACAGCACCCCATCAAAGATCAGGAGTGGAATCCCTAACCCTGGACCGCCTCAACTCAGGCACAGGATCTCTGTCTTCATCGGATTCCATTTCAGTTGGCTCAGTTACATCCAGCCACAGCTTGTAATGCCAGGTCCAGATCTTCCAGTCTAGAGACAGACTAGCTGCCTAACAACAGATAGAGCTGGGTGTCATCCGCATACTGGTGACATCCCAGCCCATGCCTCTGGGCAATCTAGACATATAGGTGTTAAATAACATTGGGGAAAGTACCACCCCTTGGGGCACTCTGCAAATCAACAGGTACCTCCACGACAGCTGTTCCCCTAATACTGAACCATGAGCTGAACCATGAACCAAATGAAATAAATATGCTGGTTCATACTCCAAACTGTATGTATAGTTTTGTGAGCCATTTAAAGTTCAAACCCCTGCTTTCTGTTCCCTATGAAATGTTGGGATCAGTTCGGGAGGGTTTAAATGGGTGGTAGCCATTTAACCCTCTAGTTTTGCTCTCTGCTGCTGTGAAAGGGGGGCCCCCAGCAAAACCAGAGAAGCAAATATGTGGGTGAAGTGCCTCCTGGGGGCATTTCACCCCCTTCTGTCTGCTGGCCACGAGAAGGAATTTCACCCCTTCCTTTCTGCTGGCCCAGCTATTTCAGGCTCCCTCACACAACCCCTTTGGAGGGGCTGTGCATGGGAGCCTGAAGTTGGGGTGAAATTACCCCGGGGAGGTACTCCAACTCTTCCAATTAAATGCTTCTTTCTGCTCCCCATGGCTTATGCCAATGACACAGTGATTGAAGTAAAGTGTAAATCAATTGAAAGAACTGAGGAAATACTGACTAGA